TCTTTAATGATATTGTAAAGATAATCAAAAAATTTTACTTTGAAATTAACTTAATTAAATTAATTTATTGGGTCAGCTTCATTGCACTCTTTCTATAGAACCAGACTGTTTCCCGACACTGGCTTATACTCTATTTTGCGCATCTGATATTCCAAAGAAAAAGAAAAAACTAAAAAAAGAACACGAGTACAAATCTCCTTTCCGTTTTCAATGGTCGAAACAAAATCCAAAATCTAAAGTGTTATTTCCGTTTGACTGCTGAAAATTTTATTCATTAACTGTAATTATCTTGGAAATTTTTTGTCCAGAAAGTTATGATTGAAATTGTTTAGCTCTTTATCGAGGTAACGTTTAAACGTCTCATTGACGATAGATCGTAAAATTGTCGAAAGTCAGTGTCAAAGGAATGCTAGCAACAGACGAAAAATGTTAATGTCTAGAACAAGCTTTGCAAAAGTAACCAGTCAAAAAAGTCCAGACTGTAAAAACACTTGTCCCACAAGTGCAGTCAGATTGAAATTTACTCTCTAAAGACATAATTTGACTGTCAAAGCTTCAGAAAAATTAACAGTTTCAGTGTTTTGTTTTGATATATATACAATTAAATTTTGAATCTATGAACAATCCCGTAGAGTAAAGCTTCGTTGTCCAAACGAATCAAATTTTCACAGTAGGGCAGTGTTAAAAACGCTACAAAGTCAGGTTTTTGAAACTCTTGCGTTTCATTAAAAAAGGATGAGGCAATAAGTTTTCAGTAAGCGATGCAAAAACATACTAAAAGATACATTCTGCTTCAATTAATTTATTTTTTTAATTATTAAAAAAACGGTACCAACACAATGCTCTAAAGTGTGCAAAAAAATTTTTGTCGTCACTTCAGTTATTTGGTATGACCTGTCAAGTCTTAGAAAAAGTCTGTCAGAAATGTACCTTGGGTAATTGTCAATGGTATCGATGGGTAACTTAACAATATCAGGCTTTTGCTTGGCACTATCAACTGTTTTGTCAGGACAAAACAATAAATATCAATGGGAATCTAGGCTACAATTTTTTTTGCATAAAATTTTTTCTTTAGCCCGAGTGGGTATTTATATCTAAAATATGCAACTGTTTTGAGTTGGAAACGTTATTTTTCTTTGTCGGTTTGAATTTTAACACATTTTTTGCCACTTTTGCATAAGTTTCTTCTATATTGATTTGTTTGAGCAACTACAAGAGGCATGTCAATATTTATTGTTCTGATTTCGAAGAGAAGGAGAGAATAATTGTGCTCGGGTCGGTTGATTCTCCAAACCAAATTCTCCAGACAAAATTCGACAAAATTTTTGTTGTCCGGATCTCAAACTTAAAACAAAAAACATTTACCTGTGATCCAACGGGGTAATTGGGAAGTTATAGGGGTTTAAAGATTACCAATTTGACCAACTTAGGAGAAAAAACCCGCGAAATATTTCGTGCTTTTAAAATGTGAGCGGAAATTTATTCCGGCTTAGAGTATCATTCAAATTGAACTCGAGCATGCTAAGCGGTCTCATCTGTCGTACTAAACTGGCAAAATGATTTAGATGACAATACTTGATTCCATCTATGTCTATAAAACTTGCGCGTCGTTTTTTGACATGTTTTTTTCCAGGATAAAAAAGTTAAGTTTTTTTTTTCGCGAAAATCTCGCGTAGTCTCAGAGAGGCCTCGTTATAAATCATTGCTTCTCTAAGCTCGATTAAAATATAAAACAATAAAGACTGTTGTCGTATTTGGAACACAAATTTTTCCCATATCAGGAATCTGAAAAAATCATTTCTACATAGATTAACAAGAAAAATTGTTTTCTCAGTTTTTTCACTAAAATTTGTTCAATTTAAAATACTAATATTTCTCTATAAGTTCACGAATAATGATTTTTTAATTTATTTTTCAATTTACGTCAAAAAGTTGTTGTTCTTAGCTTAAGATGCAATAGAAGAATCAAACTTAAGTCAGAAAGTTGAGGTATTAATAATTAAAATTATAAACTAATTGCTGAAGATCTAGAGGAAAACAGTTTCCAAGCCTCAACAAACCTCTACTTTTCATTCTGTTTATTAATGATATACCAAAATTAAATGCAAACACAAGTGTCTATCTCTGTGCCAATTATACAGCCATCAAAACTCGGACTGAAAAATCAATATTGATTGAAAACCTTGATAATACATTGACAAAAGCAAAGGAATGTTTGGACAAAAGCGAACTGACTTTGAAATTAGATAAAACTAAAACAATTAGGTTCACAAAACGGAATGAAAAAACAAGTATTTAATTAAAACGAACAAGGAAGCCAATGAGCAAAAATTTGTTTTCAAATATCCGGGTTTGTATCTCAATAAAAAACTGCGTTTAAATTTTTGATATTTAAAGCGTCAATTATCACAGCGTTGATTGCTCTGTAGTTTTTATCACCACGTGTAGAATTAAATTAAACGCTGTGATATTTGACGCTAAGTAAAAACTGTGGAATTATTTATCAACTGCGTAAGATTTTAAACAGACCGCAACTGAACCAGTTTTACCAAGCATACGTTAAAGTTGTTATTGAACATGGCGTGTTAATATACGGGTCGACTTCCAAATCAAACTTTGACAAGATTGATCTCATTATTAACAGAATAACTAGAGTCTTAAATTTCAAGAAAAAATTCGAACCGGTATATTTGTTGCGCGAATAAATGAAAAAATATAATATAAAAAAAGTTCATTTTAAAACTTCTCTGTAAAACTATTTGCGGTAAATGTGAATCTGTGACTCTCAGCAAACTAATCATATCTGATGAACTATTCAAACTACATCATAATCATGAACGAATAAAGAAATTAGTGATCAACTCTAAACAACACCATAAGTTTTCAGTTGTTTTTAGAACTTGAAAACTCTATAACTGTCTCACAAACTTTTTCCGGCTTTTTTGGATTGATTAGAAAAAAGACAAGTAAAGAAATTAACAACTTTCTCCATAAGTTTCTAGAGACGACATTAATTGGAAATGAAGAGTTAATAATTTTAATACATTGCACCACCATCCCAGTTAGAACCTGTTCTTTTTTGAGCTCAGAGACGTCCGAAAACAGGCAGAATTTGTCTAATGACGGTTCCCCAGATTGGGTTCTTTCAAGTGGTCTTTTATATAAATTATATTGATCAATGTGAACCTATGCTGTAAACAATTTATTACTTTTATTATGAGGATTGCTGTCTCGTCCCTACCTCTGTGTAGTTTTGTCCGAAAAAAGATTTTCTCGTGTCTGAATGATCTATTTTGACTTTTTTGAGTTTGCCTATCCAGTGCTCAGTTTGGCCTTGTAATGTGAATTTAGTTACTATCAGGTTTTGTGAAATTTCAATCATCTTGCAACTTTCCTATACTTTGCATCCCATTTAGAGAGCCTAGTTCTTTCAGAGTGACTATTTCGTGGCGAAGATTTTATTGATTAAGATTCTGTTTACATTGTTAAAAGTTTCGAAATGCGTTTGTTCATCAAAAACTGACTCACATCCTTGTCTTTCTCTGGATTAGCTCTGTGCTGGTTGATGAGTTTCCTCTCCTGTTCCAGTTTGAGAGACAATTGCTTCAAACGCCTAGCCTCCTCCTTGTTCACCTGTTTTATATTTTTGAGGTGATAACACCTACTCTTGAAATGAAATTTAAAAGCTACCCAATCTCAACCCAACCAAAAAGACCACACTTTGAATTATTTATGTATCTAAAGTTTTGAGATTCCAACGCTTAATGTTTGTTGGCTTCCCCCATGAATTAGTTAAAAATTTGTTTTTAACTGGGACTTACCATTTGCTATCCTTCTACAACGTTAGATTTAGAAGTATGTTTTGCGATTATTTTTTTCAAACAGCTTGTAAATACCCCCGACCTGCTTCTGTCCTGCGACTTCCTGCTGAGCTGTGAGGAGATCTAAGGAGGCTCCGATGGAGGAGTTGCTCCTGGACATCCAGTGGAACCCTTGTCCTCTCTTCTCCTCCCCACCCTTCTTAATGAGAGCTGTTAAACTATTATACCCACTGTCATCTCGGTGCTCTTTTCTGATAATACATGAATATTAACAAACACTGGGCAATTTTGACAGAAGTCATTGAGTTTGAGTTGAAATGTTCAGAATATCCAAATTGAGACCTTTTTATTAAAAAGTTAATTTCTGGAAATCTTTTCTAGAGTTTTTTGTTTGTCACGAAATTGCATTTTTGAAAGTTAGAGTGTGTTAATTGGGTTACTTTCTGATATGCGGATCAAAATTTTCTTTTTTTATCTATCGCCCAGTAATGGAATTGAAGTCAATTTTTTGTTCAAACCATTGTTTCTGGTTGAGGTAAATTTTGTGCTGTAAAAAATTCTTTTTTCATCTGATCTAACCCAGATCCAGTCGTCTTGAATATCTTAGTAAGATATTGAAAAACATTGAATTTCATCACAAATAGCAAAACATCTCTTAAAATGTTTGGTATTTTATAAGAATTTAAACAGGCCAAAAATCATGACAGGAAATCTGTATGATGGCTCTGCAGCTCATCAGGTGAATTTGAGATATTCTCAGAGAATCTTGAAAAGATCTTCCAGATTCTTCAAGATTTTTTGAAATTCTTAAATGATTTTGTAAAATATTTTACTTTGAAATTAACTTAATTAAATTAATTTATTGGATCAGCTTCATTACAATCTTTGGATGGAACCAGATTGTTTCAAGACACTGGCTTATACTCTATTTTGTCTAGCAAGCACCATTATCAGTTTCATCTAGGCCATAAAATGATACTTATGATGGCCATCAAAAAAGTATAAATTTCAAGTCCATCTTGATTTCTCAAAAACTCGCGATTTAATTTCAATGCTCATATTTCTGCAAGGGCAAAATTTTGATAGCCTAAAGTTCTTTTGTAAGTTTATGGACCTGAAATGGGTTGAAGGCCTATAAAAAGAGAGTTATTGAATGATTTCAAAACTTTGCGTTTTCACCTTGCAGTCGTTCCACCTCCAGCTTCTCGGCTACTGGAATCACGTGACCTAATTGGTCTCTCGTGCTCATCATAAGTGCCAGCCCCAGTTTTTGTTGCATCCTTCGAGTCACGAGCTGTTTTGTTCTCTCGATTGCTCATTTTATTGCTTCATGTTATTTGTTATGTAAAACATCAATATAAAAGTTAAATGCTTTTGTTACGAAGGTAGCACGTACGTAGTAACTTGTTATTTTAAAATTAAATACAGATAACAATTTAAGTTTCATACTTATATTATAATGCGGTGTGGTCGACTCAAAATAGTTTTCAAGTCGATCAGTTTATTGAGTTTAGCAAATCTGCTTAATGCATCTCAAATTTTTTACAGCCCTTCAAAACGGCTTCAGAAACCAATTTGGACCAATGCTCTTCACTTTGAGTGTAAATTTCGAATATCTGTCCTTGCTGTACAATGTCTTTGATTTTATGGTTTCAATTTCAGACATGGCTGGTTCTTGCAGAAACATATAACAGAACCCTTTCAGTACTTGTTAACTTTAGTAAAAACAAAAACTCCATTCTTATCCAACGATCATTTCAAAATATTTTATTTTTTTTTGAATGAATAGTACTGAATTGTTCGGAGCTATATTGTGAGTAGTATATGTAAAGTAGAAATTGAGTCGAGTTCAGTAGAAAAACACGAAGTGATACGAAATCTGAGTGAACCGACCGCCCAAATTTTGGTGCACATAGATGTACACGCGCACTACTTGCAATCATTAAGTTTGTACCAAAATGCTCACTTTTGTGAATTACCAATGAGTGGTAGTGAGTGCGCATGATATGAAGCTGTTTCAGTCAAAATCATGATTATATGTACTTCAGTCGAAATGAACTGTTCAAAATTTTGATTTTTCTCGCAATGGTAGTTTGTTTCGGGTAGAAATCGCCGGGATGGGGGCGGGGGGGTATCGCTGACCTCCATGTATTAACAAAGGCTATAGAGTATCCGGTCAGCACTCTATGTAATAACATAGGGAAAAAATTCCCAATGTATTAAGATAGGGAATAGAATTGGTAAGCTTTCAGTGTGATGGTAAGAGAAAGGTAAAAAAACGGTATTTTAGATTTTGTGTGGGAATGTTTATTTTTTTTCGCAAAAATTTCGGCGCGCATTACCTAATTGATATATATCATTGGTATATAACGTTGAAATAGATTTTTCAATGTATTAAGATTGGTTATAGGTTTCAGAGTTTGAGTTGGTAAGATGGTAAGTTTCAGAACAATTTTTGGCGGCCAATTTTGCGGATGTTTAAGATATGAACGTTTTCTTATTCAGAAAACAAAAAATTTTTAACTCAAACGCAGCGTTTGAAAAGGATTATTGAAAAAAGTTAATTACAGAGAAAATGTATTAATTTACCGCATCGTAAACAAAGTTTGTTCATAAGTTGCAACTGCATGGTTACTCGTTTTAAATCCTCTATTAGTTGACTTCACTGCTTCATCCAGTACTTGTCGATACTTCACCATCGGGCCATTTCCAGAGTGTTCTAACGCGCGTTTGTTCAGTCCTTTACTGCTAAACTTATACTTTTGAATTTTGCTATCGTAACAGCAATAAATTTTACTACGCAGGCATAGCATTTCGGTGCATCTGAATTCCTCCTTGAATAATCTTGGTTCTCTTTTGTCATGTTTCTTATGTTTAGAAAAGTAAGTACGGAGGAAAATTTGTTTTTCGCATCTGCTCTGAAGTCGTCTCGACAGTCCTTGCTTCGCTTTTCAATCCATTCTGCTCGCTTGCTGGGAAGGACACGTTCATCTAAATCTTCTTCTGCCAAAGCCAAATAGAGGGAATCTGTATCCATTTCGAGTTCTTCAAGTTTGTTGACGTCGCAAAATTTATCGAAAATTTATACTACAGCTCCATCATTCGCAACTTGGCATACTGTGGTATAAAAAACCTTACTATAATTAGTTCACGATGCTCTATAGTAGATTTAACAAGTTCCACTTCATACAAATCTATAGCTAAGTCATTGAGTCTCTTGAAGAACTGGTTATTGATAGCTTTATGGGTTTTTTCGTACCAAGATATTTTGTCATTGTATGTTTTGATCTGTCCATTATTTGATAGCCGCAGGAACTAGTTCTTAGCAGTTTCATTGTTTCGGCTACCATACTAGATAATGGATTTTCATCAGCGGCTCTCCTAGCATCAACAACAGACTGAACGAAACTGTTGATTACTTTACGCGGTGTGTATTGTACAAATCGATGAATTAATACAATTTAGTCCAAGATCCAAGTAAAAGTTAAAAAAGGGAGTGAAAAGTGTTCTGTTGGTCAAATTGAAGCTTGATATCAATATTCGTTGCAGTTGTTTCACAAATCGTTTTCTTCGATATATGTCTTCATATATTCCCCAATAGCGTTTCTGGTAACATCAATTTTTTTGAAAGTAGGTGTGAGATCGCTTTTGGATCATCTGAAACACTCAGATGAAATTGCGCATAGCCAAACATTTTCATTTCTAATGTTTTGCAGTAGTGAATAGGCAGAAAGAGGTCTTTTAAAAGGAAAATGAGTTCGAACTTGATTTCTTACGTCTACGTTGTTTTTATATTGATCCCACCAACTACACTCCCATATTTGTTTTCTTTGAAGTATCTTGTTTCTGGAATAAAACCTTTTTGAAGCTCATCCTTTTCTCTTTTCTTGATTTCTCGTTTGATATCATCATCATTTAGGCTTGGTCTAGCTTCTTGACAAGGGCAAAAATGGAAATAACAACCCATTGCTTCAAAAATTAGATGAAATTATAGAGTTTTTGCTTAATAAATTTCGCTCCTCTACAATTTGCTTCTTTTTTCTAAATCAATTTTCTAACAAGTGTTCTTTTAGAAGTTTTTAGATATTGCAGAACTTAGGAACTAGGTTCCCTTGCGTATTTCTGCTTCCAAAGGTCTATAATCGATGGAGCTGCTCTTAACTCGTTCCAAAAACTCAACACAAAAATTATTTTATAGACTCAACGTAAAAATACCGGGTAAACTTAATAGTATTTCAATATTTTGAGAAAAAAATTGTGGAAAAGTCCATATTTTTATTCAAAGTTTTGTATCATTGTCTCAACATCATTTCAATTAAAATACAATTTGAGCTTAATTTTAAATTCTGTATGGAAGTATGTTTATTCAATTAGACCAGAAGCAACAAAAAATTAGCCAAAACCTTCAGATTTTCTGCAATTTTTTCCAAAAGTTTCAAAATTTGCAATTTTTTCCAAAAACTTTGAAATCATGCAGGTTTTTTCCATTAACAGGACTTTTTTTCGAGGTTTCGGTAGGTTTCAGCATAGTTACAACTGAAAAGAGCACTGTTCTGAAGAGTTAGATCATATTGTAAAATAGTTGTTAGCCCAAATTATATCAAATTTTCTCGCGTTTTGAAATTTTTTGGAAAAACTTTCAAGTTTTTCGATAAAAAGTCAAGTTTTTGCACATCGTACCATTAATTTCCATAAATCAAAAAAACATAGTATCTTCACTACACAATCTGCACGTTTTTCTCACCAATTAAATAACACCTGCCGAGATTTTTGCGAAAAAACTTGGCATTTCCACACAAAAACTAAAAAAAAACAACGTTTTTCTTACCAGTCGCTTACATCACACTGAAACCTTACCATTCCCCATCTTAATACATTGGGAAACCTATTCCTTATCTTGATGCAATGAATTTTTAATCCTTATTTGTAGAGAAATCAATAAACTATCCTAAAAAATGGTAAGATCTGCACCAAAAATTTTTCTGAAACTTACCATCTTACGATCTGAAAATCTGAAACCCACAATCAATCATAATAAACTGGAAAATCTATTCCCTCGTAATACACCAATAAAAATTACTGATTAGGTAACGAGCACCAAAATTTTTGCGAAAAAAACTAGACATTTCAACACAAATTTCAAAAAATACCGTTTTCTTACTATTTTCTTAACATCACACTGAAACCGTACCAATTCTTTTCCCTATCTTAATACAGTGGGAAATTTTTTCCCTATGTTATTACATAAAGTGCTGACCGGATACTCAATAGCCTTTGTTAATACATTGAGGTCAGCAACAACCCCCCCCCCCCCCCCCCGGCGATTTCTTCCCGACACATACTACCATTGCAAGAAAAGTTAAAATTTTGAACAGTTCATTTCGACTGAAGTACATATAATCATGATCTTGATTTGGTACATTTTGGTACAAACTTAATGATTTCAAGTCGTCCGCGTGTACATCTATGTGCACCAAAATTTGGGCGGTCGGTATTGTGTTCGCTTCGTGTTCTGCTATTGTGATGATTGAGATGATTCTAGCTTCTATGTTCAAACTTCCAAACGGTTTTCCTGTGATCATTTTTTTGAAATTGAAGCTGCTCCTCATTTTAGATCATCGCTCACTTCTGGTTCTTTTCTACTCAGTGCTGAAACCTGTTCATCTGTTTTTTCTCGATCTCTTGACTCTGTTTTTGTTCGCATTCTTGTGTTGCTAGATCCTGGCTCTTTTTGTTAATCTCATCTGGTGCTGCGTTTCTCAAGTTTTTGTTTGCCATTCTCCTGGTCTGGGCACCGCTTTTAATCATTAAGTTGTTAGTTCTTCATTCTTCTTGTATCTGTTCAGCAGATCCGTGTTTCTGTCTTCCTGTTTCTCGTGTTTTGCACCGCTGCTTTCGCTAGTTTGTGCTTCTGAAGATTTTGGTTTGTTATTGGCTTGCAAAATGAAGGAGAGACAGTGCAAAAGATGATGTACTCTTGGTTGCAAAAGAAACACTTCGCCCCTACCTCGGTAATCAAGCCGCTATAGAGTTAGAACTCATTCATCTGACTCAAGTCTTCGTCATCAGGGGAATAGCCCAAGCTCTTCATGCCTTCTCTGTACAGGGTGCCGTCTGATACATGGTGATCAGCCAGTTGATTCTCACTTAGCGCATGAACGACGTTATTTCAAATTGTCTCTCGGTTTGCACCATGATTTTTTGGGTGCCTGTGTCCTCCTTGTAGGTTGCGGTCAGCTGAGTACAAGTTTTTCTTCGGTTTCATGAACATGTACTCTCTTGATTTCGGCCTCATATCTCCAAGAGTCGGTGCGTTGTT